TTTTTTCCTGTATGCAGATTATTGAAGAACGCAAATGAAGAGAGGCAGTATTCGAAAATTCTCATACGAGTCTCATTTCGAACTGTGGACTACGGCGGCGTTGCGGTGGCTTACGGCGGCGATGCGAAGCAATTTTCTCGTTAAATTTTTGTGCGACGTAAAATAAAACAAATGAGTTTTAGGATTATTAGAGTCCCGTAATCTACTAGGATTATTGCCATTAACTTTATTGGTTAAATTGCAAATTATATTTCAACTTTTGCTGCATTTGCAATTTAGTAGTAAGTTTTCAATTTTGGTAATAATACAGGGAAATGCTATGGTCCCGTTAAGTTACTATCTTGTCGGGTGTTTTAACCGTTAGATCCACGTGTAGTTAGATAAGATAGATGATCCAACGGTTAAAACACCCGACGAGATGGTACCGTAATGAGACCGTAGCATTTTCCAATAATAGCGTACTAGTTTTTTATTTTTGAAAATTAAAACACACAGTCAACAAAATGGACTATTCGATAAGGAAATGGCTTTGCTCGTCTGTACCATCAATGGATCTATCTACAATCATAGGTTATTTGATGAATCCATTGTGGCGATTGAGTTCTTTTCTCTTGATCGTCGGAGAGAATTTGATCAGAAGGAGAATCTCTCCGTCTGCCCCGCTTCAACAACAAGAAATATAGGTTTAGCGTGTTGCACTACTTTTGATTAGAAAAAATTCCATCCATCTTTCGAATGGACGTACATCCTAAACCCGCGAATGTAGTGTAGTGTTCTTGGATTCAATTGACCCATATGATAAGACGGCATACCCAAAATCACAGAGCTAATCAAGGTGGCACGTCCCGCCAAATTCAATGTTTTAGTCTTCCAACCTGTAAATTTTCAATTTTGGTAACAATACGTCGTTTTTACTTTTTCTCGTTTGTAACACGCATGTAGTACTATTCCCCTCTCCACGTTAAATAGCTAATCCAACAAGTATCTGACGTTCGATTTGTCGACAATGTATTTCGTTTTGCAGAAATCGAAAGTTTGTCTATTATTGTTACAAACTTCAGGATTTTAGATTTGTCGACAATGTATTCCAGCAGCGGAACTTGGCCGACCAGCAGCGGAACTTGGCCGAAAAGTTGATCCCGAGGCAGCAAGTTGACTAGGGTGGGAGATGAGATCAAACAAAATATATACTTGTGTGATTGTGATACCGTGTTACAAACATTAGGGCTTTTTTTTTTTATGAATGATACATTTTTAGGGAAGATGTATGGGCTGGGCTTATACACACAGTTAACAGTTACTACCAAAATTGAAGCTAGAGTCTAGCAGGATTATCTCACGATGTCGCGGGGTGTCTCATCATCGTCGGGTCGTGATGAAGCAGTAGTAGTATTGTTTCCTTTCCTGTACCAAAAAAGTGTCTCATCATCGTCGGATCATGATAAAGCGGTAGTAGTATTGTTTCCTTTCCTGTACAAAAAAAAAAAGAAAGAAAAAAAAAAGAGAGAGAAAAGGCAAAAACAAATTATTGAGAAACAAGCATGATTATCAAACAACGAATATACAAATAAAATGTATATATCATCAATGTATAAATCCATTTATTATCAAACAACGAATATACAAATAAACACAAATCTACAACTCCTACCTGAACCTGAACTTGTATACAATCACCATTTGCTTTATAACTATTAAAGTGGCAGCTCACTCATACTCTGCTGTAAAACAGACCATACACAAAAACACACACACAAACAATCAAGGTTTATACTTTATAGGTTAAGTGCAAGCAAGAAGAAACTTATATGGACCAATTTCTCTCTCGAACCCTTCTTATATAATCAAAAGCTGTAGCCAGTAGCCAAAGCCCCTCTGTGCTCCATAGTCCATATAAACTCTTCAAACAGGAAAGAATCACATAAAAAAGCCGAGCCCCGGCCTGAAATCGACAAAAGAAAAACGACCAAACTCAGTTTTCCGATTCGTCTCGTAAAAAGATTCAATTTTCCAGCACTTGGCTAGGCGACGCGTACCCCATCAGCCGATGAAGCGGAGATTTCGACAGCTCCTCCTCGATCTCCGAGCTGGGCCCCACCTTGGCGTCGCCAGGCTGGCAAGGGGCCGAGACCCCTGGGACCACGTAGGGTACCATGTGGCGGGTCCCGCAGCTGCCGAGCGAGAATCTCAGGACCTTCCCGCACGCGCCGCACGCCAGCTGGCGGTATTTCTTCCGGTGAAAGAGAAAGAAATCCTCCGGCAGGCGCAGCAGCTCGAAGCATCGGTAACAGGCTACCAATGGAGCCCCGCCGGCCACTGGCCGGAGAATATGCCTCCTCTTCCTGGCGAAATATTTCTCCTTCAGGCGGGCCCGGATGAGCCCGTTGTCAAATGTGGGCTCATGGCCCGCTACAGAGGGTAACTGGCTCGAGAAGCTCGAGATGCTGGGGTGGGCCACGGGCCTGTGAGGAGGCAGCTGGGCCGAATAGGGCCGGGGAAGGCAATTCGGGCAGGAGCAGCTGGGCTGGGGTGGTCTGTAGTGCAGGCCCAATTGCCCGTAAGTTCGGTTTGTGTGAGAATACCTTCGGATTTCGGGGAACTGCATTTGTTTAATCTGATCCTGTAGCTCACACACGGTTCTTAGCAGGTCAAGTTTATCCGGGCCCGAGCAACTTGCAGGCAATGGGCCCGAGCTTGGCCTTGAAAGCAACGGTAGCCTCGAAAAATCCTCTCGTCGATCGAGTCCTGACCGAACTCCACTAGAGTACAGACCTGTCTCGACAGGTTGGCTCCAGTTGTGGTTTCTTGTCGGGCCCCACTCCTTGCTTCTATTGTTTATTATATCTTTGTTCTTTCTCGGTTGTTGTTGCAAAGTTTTTTCACGAACTCGATCATAATTGCCATCGTAAGAAGATTCACTGCCGTAGTAAGTATAATAGCTTCCATTTTTTGGTGATGAACTTCCGAATGTGTCCGAGGAGTTAAATCTTCCGAAATTACGCCTATTTTCCCTCGGAAAATGATCGGGATGCTCGTTGTCAGAGGACGTGAGGTAAAATGATACGAGGCTTTCTTTCGAGAGGCATCGAGAGGGAGCATTATTATTAGAATGATGATAATAACTGTTTGAATTCGTTTTCTTTTCCTTGTTCTGTTCAGCTGGTGCTGGTGGTGATATACTTTCATTCGAGCTGGAAATAACAATCTGTGAAGGCTTGATTTCTTGAAGATGGTCTTCTTTTTGGCTAATACTTTGAACATTAGCAACAAAGTCATCGCCTTTTTGCAGCACCCGTTCAGGCTCCTCACGAAGTTCCACAGAGTTTTCATTATTACAACTTGCGCTGTCTTTATCTGATAAAGATTCTATCTTGGGTTGACTGGCAAAAGGTTTACTCGAGCTATTGGCTTCTACAAGTTCATCCGGTCGACTTTTTGCAGAAGATTCTGTTTCTTGTGAGGATAATGCAGTGCCGGTGGTCTCTTGCTTTCGGTTTTTAGCTGCATACAGATGAAATATAGCATAAAGATGCCAAAATGTGACATTTCAACAAAATAGAAGCTTCAATTGTCTTTTTCTTTATTTTCTTTTCCCCCTTTTGCGTTTTTTGATTTTTCCAGTCAGAAGCTAATATTCACTTATTATACATGTTTGTGAAAGAGTTACCTAGAAGAACAGTGCCACATCCTCCACATTTGTAAAGGGGGACTTCAGGCAACTCGGCTAGCACCTGTCGGCATTTAGGACATCTCACTAATCGGACTTTTGTGCTCACTTGACTACTCATATTCACCATCAATCAAAACGTGATAACAAGACAACACGACCAAATCCTGTAATAGAAACCAGAAAGACGAAAAAATAAAATCCAAAAAGGCCTCCACAGATAGCAAAAGGCCATAATTTAACCGGAAAAAAGGGGGCCAATGCAATTCATATACACGGACAAGTTCGAAGAAAACAAATAAATAATCAAACGCCTGCAAAATGACTTCGGTTTCAGCCTTTCAGGACTATTTAATCATCGGTAATCCAACAGTAATGACAACTTATTTTCAAAGGTTTTATAAAATGAAAAACGACATGGAGAACTATCTGTCGACAATGATGAGATGATTTAAGAAGGCCTAAACATGAACTAGATAACTTACAAAGGTAAACCTTCACAGTTTTGACTGCTGAGATAATGCAGATAAAACTTTGCCTCAGATTAAATTGAAAATAGTAAAAATCATTTACCTATGCATTAGTTAATTCCACAAATCGTTTCTATTACTCGATCGAATGAAGGGTGATAACGAAAAGTAAAAGGTAGGTTACTTGCAATAATCAGAGTTCAGTTCAAACAAAACCGAGACTGAAATATTGCAGCAAACTTGATGGCCATAAAGGATAAATTGCCAACTCTTCTTAATTATTTCTCAAAATGGAGATACAACAAAACAGAATCCCCATAATTTGCACACAAAAAAAGGAACCATAAAATTAAGGGACATGCTACGGTCCTGTTACGGAACCATTCCGTCAGGGTTTATAACCGTAGGGGTGGAGCCAAAAGCAGAGTGTAAAAATCTACAAGAGCTAAAGCACAAATAGCAAGAGAACAAAATAAAACTTTAACATGACACCATAATTCATTTTTACACAGATCCCACCAAAATTCAGCTTACTAATGATCAAATTAACACTCAAAACCCAGAACCCATCCCTTATTCATCGAATTCTAACAGCAAACATCGATATTCAGAATATTCAGACCTCTTCATGAATTCATTGATCAAACAAAAGCATGCCCAATAACAGTACAAACTGTAATAACATCAAGAAACAACCTTTTTCATAACATCAAGAAACAACCTTTTCATGTTAAAAAAGACATAAATTTGAGAAAAGACGAACCTATTAAGAAAAGGGTCATAGAAATTCATGAAGAAAACAAAAAATCTTTTCTTTGACGCTAAGCTTCTTCTCCTTCACAAAATTGCACCCCATTCTCTCTCTCTCTCTCTCTCTCTCTCTCTCTCTCTCTCTCTCTCTCTCTCTCTCTCTCTCTCTCTAATAACCCACGCAGAAAAACGCTAATGTTGAATTTTCCCCGCCGTGTTGGAAAAGCTTTGCTAAAAAGGTGGAGCTTTTGGGTCATTAATATTAACCCAAATCACACTGTCTAAAGTCCAAAGTCAAAACACACTCTAATATACACACACACACACACAGCTTGCAGAGTGAAAAGATAACCTTTTAATTGCGAACAAAACAAACAATACAGTTCGAGATTCGGCGCGCATTTCAAAGTCAATGGCCCAAGCTGCAACGCGCTCGCACGGACTTCGTTTTCTAGCGTAGTGTAGTTCCAAGTCAACGTTTATTTTGTGAGTGTTTACATTATTATATTTATTATTGCAGATCAAACTAGAGTTGTCAAAACGGGCCGGCCCCTAGCCCGTCAATTGACGGGGCGGGACGGGGCGGACCTACAAAATGCAGGCTCAACTCGCCCGGCCATTTTTTTTTATAACAAAAACCACCTTTAATTTATTTTGTTGTACATAATTAGATAGATTGCAACACTAAGTCCCTAGCTTGGTGTGGCGTAGATAGAAATCGTGTGTTACTCTTTATTTTATAATTTATCATTATATAAAAAGAATTATTTTTTATAAATTTAGAAAAAAAAAAATCGTCATAATCATTAAATATATCCTATATATAGTAATTGTTCGACAATTGTGAATAGGCACAAAAATCAGCTCTTTAATTGCATTGTTTCCTTAATTTAGCTTGCAATAATAAATCCACTTGCAAAATGAATCTGACAGACTTTTGGTCTAAACTTTCCCACAAAAAATCAGAATTTTTGTTTTTTCGTAATCTTGTAGAATCTCATCACATAAAATATCGGCTTTTGGTTCCATACACTATATCGGATTGTACAAAAAAATCTCATTAATGTATACCCGTCTAAAAAATCTCATGGTAATTTTACAAAATAACATGCTCGGTAAATTTAAAAAATCTCACTC